CTCTCTCTCTCTCTCTCTCGCTCCTGAATCGAAAGGCGAAGAGAGACATCAAAACAAGTTTATAGTTCTTAAGCATTATATTTCAACAGAATATTCATAACTAAATAACAAAATAATAAAAAGTGATGTTATGTTTGTTTGACAAAACTTGAAGTGAAGGTAAAAGAATTATAAGTCCTGTTCTATACAAATAAGAAGTATTATATGATTTACCAAATTATGAAAGCAATAGCCATGAATACAAATAGCAAATGGTTTACATTTAAAGCAGCGCCGGGTTTGCCAATAGGTTTTATTTTTGGCTCAAACCTATTAAGTTAAGGCAAGAATCTACTAAATTCAGTGGTAGTCAGCCATTAGTGATGCCAGTGTTTGCCAATGCCTATCATTGCTGGCATCCCAGCCCAGCATCGGAGCCATACCTTCATCTGCATTGCGGATGTTTTGCATTTACGCACATTTGGCATAAACTACATATAAATCTCAGATATTTTTCTAAACTTTTTATATAATTTCTGCTTAAAACAAACAAATGTCGGAATAATTATTATATGTCGTTCACTGAATTCGTTTCTTAAACAAAAGTTTGTTTCGTTTGAAAGATATATTAACTATAATTAAAGATGAGTTGTGTTTATAGTAAAAATAGATTTATTTGATTATTTGAACAAAAATGAAATCGATTTCTCAAATAAAAGTTTTAATAATAATTGATTCAATGATATTTGATATATAAAAATGATTGAATTCACGCAAAACATAGATTTATGTTCAATGATTGACCCAATTATGAGCATAAAACGAAACAAACAATAAAATGAATGGAAATGTAGACAAATGTTTAGATAAGTAATTAAGTAATTGATTAAATATAAGGCAGAATACGGTTTATCTGAAGAACAAGTGGCGGAATTCAAGGAAGCGTTTATGCTATTCGACAAAGACCTCGACGGAAGGATTACTGCCACAGAATTAGGAATTGTTATGAGATCTTTGGGTCAAAGACCCACCGATATAGAGCTCAAAAACATGGTAACAATGGTTGACCAGGATGGTAGGCATTATTACACTCGTCTTACTATAACAATATATAACAATATATTTGTGATATTGTTAAAGGGAACGGAACCATAGAATTCAATGAATTCCTTCATATGATGTCTAAGAAAATGAAAGAAACCGATAAAGAAGAGGAACTGAGAGAAGCGTTTCGAGTATTTGATAGGAATGGCGACGGATTTATTAGTGCTTCAGAACTGAGACATGTTATGACAAACTTAGGGGAAAAGCTTACGGACGAAGAGGTCGAGGATATGATAAGGGAAGCAGATCTGGACGGCGACGGGTTAGTCAATTACGACGGTTTGTAACTTTTGGTCAAATTTCCACACTTTTGAATACACTATAGCTTTATCACACAATTTAAGTTATACTCACTTATTAATATATTTTCACTTACAGTATATTCTTAAAGTAGAATATTTTTTAGAGTCTGATATTCTGTAAACATAGTTATAAACACATATAGTGTTTATAATTCATACATTAATTAATATTGATAACAAAAATTGATTTAAAAATAAGTTTATTAATAAAACTTAATTAACGGCTTTTTTCATTATGTTTTAAAAATGTTGAGCACTCATCAACTGTTCATTAATAATTCTAATTCTAAAACCAATATTAATTGCATCAAGAATTAACAATAAATACATGTTTCATGTGTCTATAAAAGCTATAATTATAATTTATAAACGTGTTTTATTACTAATCATTACGTAAATATAAGGTTTTCAAATAATTTTCAAATTTTATTTTGGTCAAATATACTTTCCAATAAATTATTATAAATATAAAATCTCTATTAATGTATTCTGTTGTAAGCTTTACTTGAAACAAATGAACATGAATTTGTCATGATATTTTGTATATAAAGAATATTCTATCAAATGCCATAACATATAGTCAATTAGCAAAACAATAGATGAATAAAATGATTGTCTATTAATAGTTTCGAAACACAACTAATAATTAGTCTTTTGATGAGAAGTGACGAGAAATGCTTAGCATTAATACATTGATTATATGCAAGACATCAGTGCATACTTTGCTCCCTATTAAATGTAAGCAAATAATGTTTTATGCATTTCTGTGATTATTCTCATAATTGCATATTTATATTAGGTATCAAATATATAATTATTCATTTTACTTCAATTATTTAAGGGTTTTTCGTTGAAACAGTCGATTATTACACAATCGATGTGCACAACATGTAGATTAAACACTATAAGCAAATTCTCATTCATATGAAGGTTTTTCTAATTCTAATAACCAATCAAATGGTTAAAACAGATTAGAATTTTTTTAAAATAAAAATAACCATGCTCATTCATATTACTAAATATCCAATTTCATAGAATCATTAGCAAATACCCGATGATAAAATTCGCCATTTTTAATATAAATGTAATAATATAAAATATGTTAGTTTAAAAATAAAATTATAATTAACTATTTAACGATTTGACTCGAATTATTTCTAAAAAATAATTTGGTACCAACACTGGTCAAATAACTTACACTCTGTATCTGGTTGTCTACAGTATGTCATAGATTATTTAAATACTTTGCAGTAAACAATGTATGCAAAAGTATGCATTGATATCTAAATACAAACTACAGTAAAAGATCATTTGGGTGAAGTGATTGGGTTTTAGCATTTGGTTCACACAATTGATCAGTTCACACAGTTGATACTTTTTTAACGTTATGTCTATTGAGTGTGGA